CAAGATCAAGCTTTGAATCAAATTTTCACTCAAATTTGATGAAAAAATGAGTACAAATACCTGGGTAGCTATTGGAGAAGAAAGGCTGAAGAGAGGTTTTGGTATGGAGATCATCCCATTCCAGAGATTTCCACCATTTTCCCTCTCCATATTGCTCACCTTCCTCATTCATGTACAAAGAAATAGGCAATCTACTTAAGGGCAAGCAACTAAGTCACTACTGATATTGACAAGTATTTTGATGCAAACACATAAGAGAGGCCATTTTTAGAGCAGCTTTGAGACTAATAGTCATCAACTCTTGTCTTGTGCTTCTTCTTCTTCAAACAAACCAATCTTAATGGTCTGAATTAGAGATTGATGTTTGCAAGCTCTTTCACATAATTAATGATAACGATTCCTTGCCGTTGCCTTTTTTTGCATCAAGTCAGAAAAATAACGATACAACATTGAAATACAAAGAAAGAATGTCACGGCTCAAAGCCAACCAAGCAAGGCATGTGACACTACTATAAAAATGCTTAAAAATCACACTTAAAGAAATTAAAACATGACACTTTTAATGAAAGTGTGATTAAAAAAATCAAATTAATATTTTAATCACACTTAATTTAATTCAGTGTGATAGTATATATCTTTTATGTCACTTTTCAATTAAATGTGATTATATTTTTTTCTTCTTTTCTAGCGGCAGTAATGGCAGTGATCGGCGAGTGGTGGCGACAACTGAGGTATATTTTTCTCTCCTCTTTTCTTCTTCTCTTCTTATTCTTCATAGAAACACTGTTGTGCTTTTGATTATTGGACTGAGTTGCTTATGGTCATTGAGATTTTCCGACTCAAAGTTGCCACAAGATGAAGGTAAGAAGATTTCCTCATTTTATATTGACAGTTATTTCTGTTTAGGTGCCAAGAAAATGCTGGAAAAGTCAATCAAACTATAGAAATTTTGAGTATTTCTATGGGTTCAGTTAAAATGAGCCTGCCTTTGGTTTTTTGGGTTAGTTTTGTTTGATTTGGGGGAAAAATCAAAGAAATAGCAAACAAAGACATTTCCCCTAACTGTTCTTCTTTTTGGCCATTGGATTGCAGAACTGACTATTTATTTTTCCCATTATAGAATCCATTGAATTAAAATAGAGGGTTAGCATTGGTGTAATCACCATACAATGCTCAGGTTATTGCAATTCAAGAGAAACTTGGAACAACATAGTGACTTCTTTGTGAGTGTTCACTTAGTTGATGGGTTTCAAGGCGGTAAGGAGGATGTGATAATTATTTCAACTGTCAGAAATAATGGGAATGGGGCTATAGGTCAAAGAGTCAATGTGGCTCCCACCAGAGCAAGGTATTCTTGTGTGTGCCAAAAAATACCATTGTTCATGGTGTTGCAAGTAAAAGGCATTATTGCTTCCCTTTTATAGGTATTTCCTTTGGATAGTGGGCAATGGATCAACTTTAAGAAACAGTGGGTCAGTTTGGAAGAAACTGATCATTGATGCCAAGAACACACACAGATACACAGTAAGAAAACTAAAAAATGAGAGAAAATACACACTAATTGTAACTCGATCGTATAAGGTTTTTTTAATTTATTTTTCTTTTATCAACTACCTCCATTGCACAAGAATTTCACCAAAAACACAATTTGAAGTCTTTCTTTCCCATCTATTTCAATCAACTAGAACATTGTTGAAGATGCATGAAAATTCTAATGATTTGACAATGTAGTGGCTTTTAAAGTCTAAAATAAAATGCGTACAAAGGTCTACAACTTGATGAAAAACATCCCTATGTTATAAAACAATTTCCCCAACCTAAGACACGTTATTCCACTACTTTTGTTTCCTTTTTCCATTCTTCTGCAAACCTTAAGTTGATAAACTTTTAAACTTGGAACAAATAGTCTCTCACTAGGATATATAGTAAACTTCTAGTTCAGGTCTGAGATCTGATTTTTACATTGAAATTATGTTATTTTAACACAGTTTCTATCCCTTTTTTTTCAGTTTCTCATTTTCTTTTCTTTCTTCGCCTTTATATTTTTTTATTGATGAATTGCAAAAGATAAGAATACAACTTGCAGCTCATTCAGGTCTACGGTAGTGTCGATTCCAGTTTGAGAGCATTTTTGCAAGGAGCATCAATGGTCACAAGAAATGGATTGGAACTAATTACAAGACTGCTTCCCCATCTAATATTCCCTCTTTGTTGGAACTTTGGATTTTGTAATGGAACTAGCGAAGGAATTCTTTCATAAGGAACTGTGGGATAGTAGAAAAATAGCTTCTTAAAGCTAAAGCATTTATGCGTTTTGGGGTAGAAAAGAGTGATGTTTGTAAAGGATTTGATGCCAACTTGTAGGAGAGTAGGCTAGTCATCTTTTTACATGCATTTAGGGTGGAAGGAACCCTCTGAGGTTCACATTTTCAAACTCCTCTGAGGTTCAGTATCCGAAACGTCAAACAATCCCATATTTCTTTATAATGATATAACAACTATTTTACCCCATCAGATGGTTAGTTGTATTGAAAAACCCCAGACTAAAAATCCTTACTGGTAGGTAAGTTTTGTCACAAAATTCCTTCAATATCTTAAATTTCATAGAGACCAAATGATGGTTTGGAGTGAAGTGATGGACAATAGCAGGCTTCAACATAAGTATTTATATTTATGCCAATAACCAAAACAGGGAAACAAAAATAATTAAAGAACTAGTTACAAAAAAAATCATAAAATCTCATTAATCTACCACTCGAGGCCTACTATAGACTGGAAACCCATATTTCACCCACTTTATTGAGTGAAAACATATATCCCTTAAATGAACCAACTGAGAGTGGATAAGTTGGATGAATCAATTTATCAAAATCCACTTATGGCCCAAAGCTTAGCTATTATGAACCAACCCAACTTATTTTATGATTTTTATAAAATCAAAAAATCATGTGACATTAGACTCATATTTTTTGGATAACTTTATACAACTTGTTAGGTTTTTATTCTTGGCAACCCCGTTTGAAAAAACTCCTTTCAGTTGTATTTGTTTTCGCACTTTTATTTCAGTGAGGCTATGAGTTTATTAGATGCGAATCCAACCCGAATCGAGCCTTGCAGAGAAATTTTTGATTGTTTGATTGGGATTGTTATATTCTGCTTAAAATTGATACATAATCACAAATCAACATCTAGGGGATTTCTAGATTTTTCAGTGATGTTAATGCTTTCAAGATTGCCACTTCGCTGATTATGACGGGGGTCGAGCTGCCCGGTTAGCTCGCGGGGTCGAGGGGCAGCGCCCGCGAAGCAAAATGCAAAAATGCATTCAAAGTTGCCTGTCTGCTTGAGCGGACATTCCCCCGCTCGAGCGGAGAATGCTGAGTTCCAGAAGTTTGGTGAGTCTGCAAATATACTGTGATCCATGTTTTCACGCTCGAGCGTCCATTTCCCCGCTCGAGTGTACACTCTAGTACGGAACACGTCATATAGAGTCCCCGCTTGAGCGCCAATTCCCACGCTCGAGCGGACCTCGCGATTTTAGATTGTATAAATTCGCAAGTTGCTCCAAATCTAGGATTACTCCTCCAGATCTTCTTGTTGGATATTAAGGTTTATATCTGGGGATATTTTGCTAGTTTTTTTTTCTTTGATGTTTTGATTGAGTATTCAACTCATGGTTTAAAGAAGTATACATCAAAGGATTATTTGTTTGTTCTATACAAAAGAGAGAGTTGTTCTTCGGTGGATTCTGAAGAATTCGAGCCTGAAGCTTTGGTGGATTCTGGAGTGGCTCATCATCAAGACAATTCCGAGGTGAAGACGGGGCTGAAAGAGGCACATAGAGGTTGGTTGAATTCGGGCGTAGATTCGCTAGGTAATTGAGAGTATACCTGTGTAATTCCTTTATATCTTCTTAGTGGATTGTTTTGTAGCTGGTGCCTGTGGTTTTTTATCACAATTGGAGGTGCTCCAATTGTGATTTTTTCATGTAAAATCGTTGTGTCGATTTGTCTTGATTGTTTGATTGGGATTGTTATTTACTGCTTAAAATTGATACATAATCACAAATCAACATCTAGGGGATTTCTAGATTTTTCACAACTTTTAAACTAACCCAAAAAAAAAAAAAAAAAACTGTTTATAACAGAAAAAATAGGAAAAAAATTATTGTAAATATCAAAGCCCAAGCCTAGTATGTATGCATATATATATATATATATATATATTTCCACAATAAAAACGGATATTGACTTGTAATAGGTTACTCCATAAATACTGTGATATTGTGAGTTCTATTCCTATGTGAATGAGAGTAGTATATTTATGGAGTAAATTATTGAAGTATTCTATGATTTCCATCGAATTTTATTTAGAATTTTTTATTAGTTAGTGACATGAAAATTGATGAGTCCCTTTTGTGTATTATTTTATCTATGATTAGTCTTAAATTGTGATTTGTTTTGGTCAGATAAAGTTAATTGCATTTTTTTGGTGCTATGTATAGGTACACAACTGTTGGGAGAGAAATTCTACCTTAGAGAGAAGGCAGTTGAAAAGGTTCTGTTCTATATATCTTCTCTCTTCTATGGAATTGCCATTATATATTTTTAACATAAATAAATGCTAGTCTCAATTCAAATTTGTGTGATAGAGGCCTGAGTGATGGAGGCCTGATAGATTAGAAGGAGAGAGTGCCCACACTTCTGATCTCAACTCTGATTTCATTTTCTATATATATATATATAATATATATACATGTATGTATCTCAACTTTGTTTGCCCTACTGCTTTTGTTTAATTTTGGAGGAATGATTGAAATTGATTTTGGTGAGAATAAGCTGGTTGTTTTGTGTGTTAATGCTATGATTGGGTTAAATAACATAGATCACACAAAAAAAGTGATCTTTATCTGTTTTTGTAGTAGTGTGAGCATGCAGAAAAGAGATGGTGAGAAACTCAATTCACTTTCATTCCACAAAATAATCATGGCAATCAAGAGATGAAATCACAATCAGTAATCTTTAATTCCCAATACCAAAAGTTTCCACAGCAATCCACAAATTCAGTTTAGCTAGTTTAATGTTTAGAGCATGCCAAATCTAGAGTTCCATAATCTGAATATTTCAAAGATTAATTGCCTCTATCAAAGCAAATAAGAGTTCTATAATTTAATTAATGTCGCAATAAAACAATTCAAAATAACTTCTACTTTTAGCACTCTATCCCAATAATAACTTTCACCGCTTTCACCACACTATTCTTCTGAATCTGTAATCAAGAGGGAGACGATCAGTTTGATAGCTCAATAATTAACTACTGCAACAACAAACTGAATCAATTATACACAAAAAGAATAATTTCAATTAATAAAGTTAAACAACATAATTTTTTGTGATTCAGGAGTGTAAAGAAAATGTTATGTACTTCAGTTAATAGTTACATAAAATCATTTCAATAAGGTGAGTTCCATAATCATAGAATTTTACAACTCATAGGATTTATAGTTCGTTTGGATCATATAGTTTTGGTGAGAAAAGAAAATATTTGTTCATATGATTAAGTAGGTGAGAAATGGAAACAAAGTGTGAGAAATAGTGAGAAAAAGAAGTCTCTATTTTGACTATTTGATTTCTTACCAAAAGTTGTGAGATTTGGTGAGAAACTAGTGATTGGTTGTAAAATATTTACAATTACCCCTTAAAATAAAAAAGAATAAAAAGAAATCTCACTCAAATTTCTCTCACATGATTTGCTTTCTTACCAATCTATACGATAGTTAGAAAACACAACTTTTTCCTTTACTCAACTAGATGGGAGAGATCACAATAAATTTTTTTTTTCTTACCCCACAATCCAAACATGATGTTACTATTAGATATATCAACAAATTCAATAATTCAATTCAATCAATCCAAAACTCCACGGGTTTGATAAACACAAACTCAAGTGACAAAAAAAAAAACCTCAAGTTTTAGCAAATGCAACCACAATAACGAGTGACAAAAGCCAAAATCACATTTAGCTCCATGGTAAAAAATCAAAAGAAAGTAGCTTATGTGTCAATATTTAACTTCCATTTGCTTTGGGTTCACATTGTTGTCAAACAAAATTCATATCCTTCATAAAGTACATGAATCCACAATGATCTTATAAAATATTTCTGTAGAAATAAAAAAAATAAAAACAAAAACAACTCGGGACACAAGACTCCGACTAAAATAAAATCTAAAGAGAACAATATGTATGCAACCTTAACCCCCCATCTTTGGAGAGATTGTATTTCATTACTCAATGTTTAAACATTTTCAAACCAAAATATGCACTTAAAAGAAATTCTAGATGTGGTATGAGATGACTTACCTCTAGTGAAACGAATCCACACTCGAGTTCAGGAATCGAAAGCTATAAACAAGGAATTCAATGACATTATAAAAATAATAGTGGTTCTATGTATGTAAAAATCATCATAAATAAATTACACAAAATAATTACATGTGCAGGGCCCATAAATTATTGAATCTACACTAATGTGAATGTTTTGTGTATTTTATGTGGTTGGTATCTGTGTACCTAAATTTGTTATAATAAAGTTAAGTACTCCCATACCTTATTCAAAACTGACTAGTTTTGGGGAAAATAAGTATAACGAGGGAAGAACATTGTTTCAACCTTCATATGATTGTCAAAATAAAGTATAGATCATGTTGTTCTTGGGGTATTTTGCTCTTTTTTTTTTTTTGTATAAAATCAATTAATCAAAAGCCTAATAAGTGAGTGTCATCTATAACCCTAACCAAATTGGTCTAATACCAAACAACCACACTAATCCCAACAGACTCTCAAATAATTCTGTGAAATCATGAGTTCTCTTTCTCATCATTTTTTATCTTTTCTCACTAAATCACCCAATCCAAATGGAGTGGAAATGTAAAATAAGAAGGGATTTGAATTACCTTAATGATGATTTCAATATTATTCAATTTCATTTCCTTCAAGAGATTTAGTCTCTTCTTCTTCTTCAAGAGGTTTAGTCTTCTTCTTCTTCTTCTTCTTCTTCTTCTTCAGAAAAGTCCCTAAAATCGACTTATTTGATCAAAGAACATATTTATTTATTTCATTTTTGGATAAAATACAAAGAAGCATACCTTTCATCACTTTAGTCCTTTAAATTTTAATTTTGTTAATTTCTCTCTTCAAATTATCAAATTAGTCTAATTTTAAACTACTGTTTAAATCATTAACGAAATGATTATACATTTTAAATATGATATGTAAAGTATATATGTCATGTGTCAATTTGGTCCTTAAAGTTCCAATTTTGCTAATTTTGTCTCTCAATATTACAAGTTATTTTTATTTTCTCATAAATGTTTTGAGAACAAACTAACAAAATTTAAAAACTTTAAGAACCAAAGTCGTGTATATTTTATTATTATTCCATTAACTATTTAAGCTATGAGTTTAAACAATACCAAATTAATATAAATTAAAATTTTAATAACGAAATTGAGAAAATTAAAACTTGACACAGTGACACAAAATGCATACTTAAAAGACCATAAATATAATTTATCATTTATTTTTATATTCTTGTTTGAGTATTACTATTTTGAACGCCCTTTATATAATATTTCTATTCAACTCTAAAAAAGAATGATTGAGGCTTTTTTAATTGGTTTTAGAAATTTTGAAGCGTATTTAAAATGCTTTTTCAACTTCTAGTCTTTTTGTTAAAATGTCTCTTATTGTATTTGTCTGTTCAGTGATGGTATGTGATTGCTTGTATTACTGGCACATTAATATTGATAATCCTTTTATATAAGCAAAAAGAAATTTACTTGTCACAAAAAATTATTTTTATAGATTTAGTATCCAGCAAATTGAGTTTATTATTATTTTTGTATTTAACTGTATTTTCTCACATTTCATTATAAGATTATTGAAAATTATTCCTACAAGAATCTATACAACTTTAAGTGTGTTTAATTAGAAAATCCACAAAATCTAATCTTACATAACAATGTCAGACCAGGATTCCGTCCAGTTCATAATATGGACTAGATGTGGTCACCACCATAGTTTTATTTTGATAATTCAAATTATTTATTTTGTAGGGTTCTTCGTATATACCATCTACATAAAAGAATTAGATGAATCTGATATTCATAGTCTATTTAATTTATCGGGTTTATAACTAAAAAAATGAATGATTTGTGTTTAAAAATATACTCTTTTTTTTTGGGGGGGGGAAACAAATGCTTAAATTGAATAGTCTACAATTATTGAATTAACATAATTTTTTGTGTGAATGATACGAAAAGTCAGACAAAATAAATTATTTGGATTATAAAAATGAGACCTGTAGTTAATCTCATGAGCCCAAACAATATCTTCTAATCTAAATCATGTATTGGAGGGAATCCATATCTATATGTCTGCATGTGTACACTTGAACTTTTGTGTGATGAGTGTGTCATTACATTTTCAGAAATAATATAATGGTAGATCTTTCACAAATGCAATATGATTTAATCTAACAGTGAGAAAATAATTAATGATTTATTATATATATATTTATTTATTGATAATATAATTCGGGTTGATTGGGTTGTGAAACTTAAGCCTTATTCAAATTTAATTAGGGCGTAAAATTTAGCTCAAACCTTGACCAAATTTAAAATCATAGTCTAAATTCTAAAAAATTTCAAATTAGACTAGGGTTGCTCATATTAGGCCAACTCTCGTTTTAAAAAAAGGGCAAATACATTTTGCTGTTTATATCATTTTGGTCTCTATATTTTCAATTAATTCCATTTTGACGTTTAATTTAATATTTTGTATCAATTTGGTTCAATTGATAATCTCGTTAGTGTTTTTAAAGAAAAATAATTACTGAATTGAGTAAGTTTATAATTTTGTTGTAAAAAATATGACACATGCCATTTATATGCGTATTTTTCATAAAAAAATGTTAAGAATTATAATCAATTGGAGTAAATTGAAACAAAGTCATAAATTCAAAATTAAAATCAAATCAATTGAAATTATAAAAACCAAAATAATAAAAAAAAACTAAAATATAAGATGCATCGTAATTTTCACCCTTGAAAAAATCCAACATGAAGTTACAAACAAAATTACCTGGGAAAGAAAGGTTGAAGAGTGGTTTTCGTGAGGGGATTATCCCATTCTAGAGATTCCCACCATTCTTCTTCTCCAAAAATGCTTTGAAGAACAGGTGGTGCAGAAGCTTGCTTACCATCCTCATTCATGTGCAAAGAAATAGGCAATCTCCTTAACATGGGACAGTCCCATATATGAATTTGTTGCAGAGATTCACAGGCCATTACGCCCTTGTATATGCTCTTCAGTCTTGGTAGACTTTCTAAATGTAATATCTTTAAATTTGGGAGTGTGATTGTGTTGCCATCATCTTCACGATGCCCCCATCGATCACTCATCTCTACTTCTACTGTTATCTCCTCCACATTCTCGCATCTCATCACTTCAAGTTCCTCAAGATTTGGGAAGTTGTGCAACAACAGGGCAGAGAAAATATTCTCCATTTTCGGACATTCACAGAACTCCAATCTCTTAAGGTTAAATGAAATGTTGTGTGGTGGAACAACTCTGTCAAAGAGTATCCTAAAATTGGGTAAATTAGAAAACTTTAATTTCTCAATCATTGTTAGCGGGATATGGTAGTCTTCCGAAAAGCATGATAATGATGATGATGAAAAGATGGATTCAAGCCCATCACACTCTTCGATTGAAATTTTTTTTAAACCTCTTGCATCCCTTAATGACTGAATATCTGATAAGCTAATGTGATTGTCCCATCTTCTAATTCTCAATTCCTCTATGTCGCTGCGAAGCACTACGGCATCTACTCCATTACTAAACAAATATTTAGAGTTGTAAACACAAGTGAGTTTCTCTTTATCAACAATTCCTACCTCAAGGCTGTACCTTTCCAAACTTTTGCATTGCACAGATTTCACATACTTGGTAAGCTCTTGCGCATTGTGAAACTGAGCTTCGACAACTTTTAATTGCTTCAAGCACAACAGCTCTTCTGCCAACACATTTACTTTTGTTTCATTAATTTCAAGGTGATGGAGTTGTGTGAGTCTGCAAAAATTCCGGCAAGGAGACATACCTAGGTTGTAATTCCCCCAGAGTTTAAGCTCTCTGAGATTAACCAATTCTTCTATACCTTGGGGTACTTCTTCAATGTGACTATTAGTCAGTTTAAAATGTTCCAACGCCTTCAGTTTCTCCAATGACGGCACATATTTTATGTTGCGATCAAACCAGAGAACAAGCTTTCTGAGATTAACCAACTCTCCTATACCTTGCGGTACTTCTTTAATCTGACTATGAGTCAGTTCGAAATGTTCCAATGCCTTTAGTTTCTCCAGTGACGGCACATATTTTAGTTTATAACAATGACGTAGTAACAGTTGATGCAAATTCTCCAACATGGAGATGGAATTTGGCAGAGACTCTATGGTAGTGTAGGACAAATCCAACACCTTGAGACAAGGCATATGCAAAAAGAAAGAATCTGGAATCTGAAGTACTTTTGGCCAATTACCTTGCAATAGGAAGGTGGTGAGACGAGGGCAAATGGGTAGTTCAGAAGGAAGTTCTTCAATATCGTTCTGCATTAAGGAAACCCTCTGAAGATCCTTAGACCAATCTTTATGTGGAACTCTTTTTAATCCCTCACCAGCTCGGACCATGAATCGAGGACTAGTTGATGTAATTTTGAGAGACATGTCTCTTATCAAATCATGCATCTTCACGAATTCTCCATTTATGTTATCAGCTTTTACCAACAAGCAAGTTTTAATGAGTTTATTCAATATAGTGTGACCTTCGTCGAACATTGCTTCTCTATTGTCCATCTTACATATTAGGCCCTCAGCAATCCAATGCTCTATCAGTTCTTCCCTATGGATGTCATCGTCTTCTGGATACAATGCACAATACAAGAAACAATGTCGTTCCTGTTCATCTTTTAGCCGACTATAACTAAATTTTAGTTGCTCAAATAACCGTTCTTCTTTGTCCATGAGCTGTTGTGCATTTCTCGCATTTCTCCACTCGCGAATGTCATTCACTCCTCTCATACATCCAGCCATAATAACAATTGCAAGGGGCAGACAGGCACATTTTTTGGCAACTTCTTTTGCAATTTCTTCCACCTCGTGTGTAAGCACTGTCTGATGTTCTTTAACATTACTCATAAATAGATTCAATGCTTCCCCTTCTGTGAGAAGCTCCATTTCAACAGTTTTGCAATTCATCTTTGTACAGACTTCTAACAATCGTGTAGTCACCACTAGCTTACATCCGTTATCTTTGGTTGGTTGCGGAATACCCACCTCCGCCAGAGGAAATGCTTTCCAAAGATCGTCTAAGATGAGCAAATACCTCTTCTTTTGGAAAAGCATGTTATGTATTTCTGACGCTGTACCTAATTCATCCTCATAATCGGAAAGATCAAGATTCAGTTTCTTAGCTATCTGCCTTTGTAGATTTTTGATCTCGAATGCTTTAGATACTGTGACCCAAATAACATCATCAAAGTAATGAATTTCATCCAAAAGTTGATTATGGATGTATTTCATGATGGTTGTTTTGCCGATTCCCCCCATTCCGTGAACACCGATTTTTCTAACCGCATCATCCATCAAGAAATTCCAAACTTTCTCCTTGTTCCTTGCACTTGTGGGTTCAGCCAAAGATTCTGCATTGGGTATGGCATGTCCACAAGTTGGATCATCAATCAGCAAACCATTAGAAAATCCACCATTTTCATGCAGTTTTTCCACCTCTTGAATAGTCTCCACCACACGCTTTCCCAACTTTGCGCGTTTGAAGACATTCATCCAACTTACTTCTTGCACTTGTCTTTCCAAAGTTTGGACATCATTTGCTATCCTTCGCACATCTTCTTGCCAAAGTTCAACCTCTACCCTTCGTCTTTTCCTTGACCGCTGCACTTCATAATTCATGTCTTCATTTATGTCCTTCTCTCGGCCGTTCAATTGCTCTGTATTTCTTTTGAGTTTTTTCATGTTAGTATGAAGGTAATAGTAATATCCAAATGTTAAACCAATCTCTTCCATGGCCCAGTCTACTCCTAAAAATACATAAGAGGATTGTAGTTAACAGAAAAAATTCTAAAGAAAACTTCAATATTGATTCTAATGGCTGTTACAAAGCAATTTCAAATTTGATTTACAAAAGCAAGAGAAAGAAAACATGCTAATTTATGCAAACTGACTTCATATTCACCTCCAAATAATAGAAAGTCAGCCTTTGAATTACTGACAAACTAGTGATCGTGCTAAATAGATAGCTAGTAACAATGAACCAACATTTATGGTGTTCAAGAATTTCAGTTATGACATTGATTGTAAATTTCAAGTAAGTGGATGATTTGAAACACAAACAAGAATAAGATCCATGCCAGAGTTTATCTGCCCAAGCTTGACCCAAGTTAGGTGCGAATTGACCGAGTTGCCCAAGTTGCACATAAATTTATTAAAGTGCAGTTAATTAATTTATAAAAATTCAACTTTGTTCATATTTTTTTATTAAGGGATATTTACTAATAAATCCCATCTCACAAACAAGTACTCCAATTAGTTCCAAGTTTTTTCTATTGATCTGCTAAGTCCTATTAGTGGAGAGTTTCGTTCCGTGTGGTCCTATTGTCGATTTTGGTAGTGTTTTGGTGGATAGCTATACCTTTTTTTTATTAATGTGATAGATTTGATGCGACACTCCAATGTGTTAGGTATTAATGCGACACTCTAATGTGGCAGATATAATGTGACACTTCAAAAAAATTAAAAACTCCTCAGTGTACTTTTTCTAAATGTGACAACATGGCAAATATAACGTGACACTCTAAAAAAACTAAAAACTCATTAATGTATTTTTCTCAAATGTAACATGAGACACTCCAACGTGGTGGGTATGATATGACACCCCAAAAAAACTAAAAACTTCTTAATGTACTTTTCCTAAATGTGACGATGTAACGGATATGATGTGACGACGTAACGGATATGATGTAACAAGTATGGTATAAAAACTCTTTAGCGTACTTTTTTATAAATGTGATGGCGTGGCAAGTATGATGTGACACTCCAAAAACCTACATGTAATACTCCAAAAAACCTACAAGTGATATTCCAAAAAAACTAAAAACTCCTTAGTGTACTTTTTCCAAATGTGATAACATGGCGAGTATGATGTGACACTCTAAAAAAATTAAAAACTCATTTAGTGTACTTTTCCAAATGTGACACTTCACTGTGACGGGTATGATGTGACAATAAAAAATTTCTTAGTATATTTTTTGCAAATGTGACACTCCATTGTGGTGAGCAAATGAGTCGTTACACACCCAAAAAGACTAAATGGATCACAAGAAAAAAATATAGGACTATATGGATCACAAATTTAAAATATGGGACTTATTGGTCAATTTTCCTTTTATTAAATCATAAATAACATCAAAATAAATAATCTACATAATGCGAGAGATAAAAAAAAAATTGAAGAACCGATGTGATGTGTTTACAATTTCTTAGCCAAATTCTAACACTCTTTTAACGTCTTTTCCAAAAACAAATTGATGACCAAACTTCAAATAATAGAAAAAGAAGAGCAAGAACTATTCCATTAACAGATTAACATTTAACACTTTGTCTCTTAAAATTTTAACACAAAAGTAGTGGATCCTATAATTTGGACTAATAACTACTCATTTGGAGCACCACCTAGACATGCTTCAGGAGGATTAAATAATTTCTGAAGCTGACTATGCTGCTTCAGAAACATACGCTGAATGCTGTGGAAAACAAGGTAGAGTCAACAAATATGCAGTCCGCACATGCGATGCATATGCAACTCGAAAAAAAACTATTATTAGAATAATAACAAAGAAAAATATACATAAAACATGCGTATGCAGCTCGAAAAAAATAATATTATAAGAATAATAACAAATATATATATATATATACACATACAGTATGGGTTGCTCAAGTGATAAAAGGATTTTATTAAACCTATAGTTATGGGTTCGTGACCCTTTCTCCTCTATACCTAATTTTCACAAAAAAAATATTAGACATAAACCCAAAATATGACAATAGGAGACACAAATGTGTCAACACAATACCACCAACAAACAGCATTTACTTTATAATATTGAGACAACGCAAATATTGGGGTATTTTGGAAAAATCCAAAATATGAGACACAAATGTGTCAACACCACCAGCAAACTTCACTTTACATACGTATTTTGAAAAAATTCAAAATATGAGACATAAATGTGTCAACACCAACAACAACCTTTACTTTATAATAGTACTTGCGGTCCATAAAAGTAACTCAAAAAAAAAATTAGGAATAATGATAAAGAAAAATATACATATAATATGTATTGTTCAAATAGTAGAAGCCTTCATTAAACCTATGGTCATGGGCTTGAGGCCATTCCTCATCTTTACATAATTTGTACAAAATTCACCAAATATAAGGATATTTTGGATGTCAATAACACCATTACAAAATTCACCAAATATAAGAGTATTTTGAAAACATTCGGAAAAACCCAAAATATGAGACACAAATATATCAACACCACCAACCTTCACTTTCTAAAAGTATAGGGTATTTTGGATGTCAACAACACCATTACAAAATTCACCAAATATAAGAGTATTTTGGAAAAATCCGGAAAAACCTAAAATATGAGACACAAATATGTCAACAACACCAACCTTCACTTTATAATAGTATAGAAGATAGACAGATAGGTATAGAATTATATGACTTTTCTTAGCCATCCAAAATAAATAAATAAATAAAATTCTACACACAATAATTTGATAGATAAATTTGTATGAATTAATTTTAAATTAAAAAATCGACTAAAGTGATTTACTTTGGTCACTCTAGCGAGAGAGGTCTATTTCTGAAACTGTTTATTGGCTAAAGCTTTAATCTTTTTGGGTCAAAATGACATTATTTATCCAAAGGAACAACTAGCTGTTCAAAAGCTTAATTATTTGTCTATCTGTTCAAATGCTACATATCTATTTGGGTTTGGTTTTCAAAATTTTAAATTTTTTTAGAACTAAAAATTAATTTAGTGATGAAAGGAAAAAATAAAAAGATCCAAATAGAAAGTAATATTGGGTGATAGGTCAAGGGGATAAAGTGATATTGGGTGATAATTCATAGGGGTAAAAGTGTAGTTTATCCTATTGATGAAAGGGTATTTTTAAAGGTCCAAACTAAAAAAAAAGAAAAAGAAAAAAAGAAGTAGATGAGGGAGGTTAGTTTTTAAAATTTTTAGTTGAGGGGAGTAAAGTGATAATGACAATAGTTAAACGAGATCGAGTGTAATTTACTCTAAATATTAAGGAAGACTCCGACTGATGATTGGTCATCTTATTTAGATATCATTAGGTCTAAAAATTGAGTCTACCAAATAGACTTGTATATCATTTTTTTTTTGAGAAATTAAATAATTATTAAAACATTACTCAATATAGGTCAATTAGCTTAATAAAAAAATTATAGAAGACTAGTTTTATTTAAACATATTATTCACTTTTCATGAACCATGTAATAATTTAAAATATTACTAATGTTCTTATACTCATAAAGTTTCACAAGAAATTCAATCAAAAATAAAAGATAATTGGCTATCTCACACGGGAAGGCCTAGAGTGTGCATCTTTTAAGGGTGCATACCATATATACCTTACTACAAATTGGAGTAATTTTATCGTAAAATTTTGTAGCATCAACAATAAAATACGTGATCTCGTCACAAATTAATTTAACAAAATGTCGTAATTCATATAACAAAAGTTTGTGATTTAGTTACGATATTTTTTATCACGCCAGTTTGTAACAAAGTTACGCATTTTATAGTTGATCTTACAAAATTTTGTGGTAAAATTACACCAATTTGTGGTGGGTGCATATGGCTACTTTTAACTAGTTTTCTACCTATGCAATGCACAGGTTTAATTAAATTTAAATTTTATGTAAATGTAATTTTGTAATATTTATACAATCATTTTTAAGTTTCAGAATGCATGCATGTTGAAAATTAAAACAATCTTATCATATAAGTTCATATCAACTTTAATCAAAATTACAAACAAATAGTAACATGTTTATATAAGAACACATCCATTTTTTTATTAATGTTATTTTATTGTTAACAATAAGTATTCAATCTTGGCATGAACTACTATAATTGATATGTGTTTCTTTTCCAAGAAGAAGAATCCAATGTGTTTACATGTCTTAGTAACTCACAATTAAATATAAACAAACTAGTGTTTCACTTGTGTTATATACAGGTTGTATTTACAATTATGTATATATGTGTGAATTGTGATTTTTAATTTTTTTTTTTTTGGCACACAGAAAAAAGAACATAACAAATGTAGTATATTTTTAATCAATTATTTTATGTTTTCTTTTATTTAAAATTTGAAAATAATGTATGGAAAAATTTATAACTAAATTAAGGAAAAATTTATTCCTAGTGATATTTTTTTTACTTCTATATAACTACTTAAAAAAATAAACCTCAAAAAAGTAGTCAAAATAATATCATACATTAAGTAAAAAAAAATGTGGTTAGCATTTATGCTTGCATAAATTTACTATAGTTTTAATTTCAAATTTAAAAAAAAAAAACTATTTTAAAAGCATTTTATTTAGCTAATACCAAATAGAATTTTTTTAGCAAAAAAGAAAGTTATAAAATTTTATTGCAAATTTTCAAATGTCTATTGTTAAATATTAAATTCTACTTGCTTTGGGAGTTTTAATTTTTGATCTTTGCTCCACATTCATCGTATTGTTTTATTTATTTTTCTTCTTCTTGCTTGATTTTCGCATGATACTTATTTCATAGTGCATCTCCGAGTGTATTAGTAGAAACATCATACACTTAAAATGCACAAAATTACAATATATAAGAAAAAAAATAATTAATTGCCCAAAACTAAAACTACTTTAAGAAAAAATAAAAAATAAAAGCAAAATTGAAATTATTTGAAATAGAAAATGATTTATTTATTTATTAATTTT